GGGGGGGGGGGGGGGGGGGGGGGGGGGGGGGGGGGGACGCAACCTGCGTGGGCTTTGCGCTGGGAGCACAACGAGACGGGATCGACGAAGGTACGGTGTAGGTTGGTGTATTTGGCGTGCGTGGTGCTTCGTTTTGGTTGATTGGCCGGGTCTCGAGGTCAAAGCTGCAACAGCAGGCGGCGGCTGGCTAGCTGGGTCGTCGGCGTTTGTTTGTGCCGTATCGTACCGGGGTGGCGAACGCTTAAGCTTGCCCTCGACGAGGGTGCGGGTGGCGTTGCTGTGAGGGAAAGGGGCTCGCACCCGTTTACATATCAGAGGGCCTGACGCGGTGTCGCGGTAGCCCCCTGCGCTCGCCCGAAACTAGTTGCCCAGAAGAGTTTCGCTGTTTCCAGGGGGGCGACGGGGTTCGGGGAGGGGCGGGGGGGGAGAGGGGGCGTGGTTACCACGACTCGGCACACATGTGGGACGGTTTTTACAGTAGTCTGGTTGGTTCCTGGGTCTGGTATGTAAGTTTATTTTCCCGTCTGTTTCATCGATGACGGGGACCCTTTGGCCTTCTTTTCCGTTATTGGTTTTACTACAAGCTCGTGGTTCAAGGGAGATCACACACTCTGCAAGGAGATGGCCATTGGGATGGTGCGTTTAGGCTTACTTGTCCCCTTCAATGTTTTCGCCTCCATTCCTTCTGTTTTCGAGTGCCGTACATGCATACGAGGCGGTTTGCTCTACTAGCAAGCGAAGAAACTCTTGAGTAGTTGATTTTTCGCACCGACCGGGGACCGTTGGGTATATTTATTTTTGGTTCTAGACTCTAGCAAGCAAGCTTGTGTTCATTGCTCGGCTTCTTTTTCTCACGCACGAGGGTGTGTGTGCTAGTACTTCCTTGTTCGTGTGGTTTGCATTGCCTGGGCCACCTTCTTCCGTGTATTCTCTGCTTTCCTTCCGTTGCAGCGGCACTCACGACCTTCTTTTCTTAGCACCTTCGAGTGGTTTCGAGGCAAAACTCATGTGGCATGGAGATCGCAAGGTACCATTACCTGGTCCCACCCATCGGGTAACGGCTTGGCTCGACATAAAGTTCCAGAAAACAAAGTGCCGACAGGGCCCCCCAATTTTATTTTTCGAAGAATTCACCGTGTTCGTAGGCGAGAGAGGCAGGCGTGTTCGATCGCGGATAAGCTGGGTTAATATGTATATTTGGATATTTGAATAAAAAACATTATGTCACGGCNGAGATCTCCCTTGATCTTTCCCGTAGGCGCCACCACCACGCGGCCGGTGGAGATGAGATCGCCTTGGAAGGTGCCTTCCATCCGCAGGGAACGCCCGCATTCCAGCATCCCCTTGAGCTGAGCAACATGCAGGGAAAGCGGCGTTAACGGAGCAAGATTAGCACTCGTTGAATAGTGTGGCGCACTGTCGGGGGTGGGGGGGGGGGGTAACTGGCAGGTGAAATGAAGTATATGGCGAAACACTGCGCAATGACGATAGTGACAGTAATTTTCGTCGTCGGTAGGAGTGGGAGAGTGAGAGAACGGGGTGGAAGGGGGGAAGGGACTACTTTCCATGGGGTGTAAGAATAGACTATTTAGCAAGAACGTATCCATTTGTACCTGAGGCAGAGCGATGTTCAGTAGTAGTCGATTAAGAAGGGATCAATTAACAATGGCAAGGTGGGTACATGGAACCCCATGTAGGCAATGATGTACACCAACCCTTGCGGCAGGTGGCAGGCACTCCGAGGAGGAGATTTTTCGTGTGAGAGGTGATATATGTTCGTTGGCTGTTGTTGTTGTTGTTCAACCTTGGGAAAGGCAAGCAGTGTTAGTACAACCGATCAGTGTCGTCAGGCAAACTGCAGACAGGATGTAACGAGTCAGGCGGGGAGTTGAGCCGCCTAATAGAGTAGTTCGGTTGTCGTGCATGAAGAGAGTTTGGACTCGTCTGAGGAGTGTCTCGCGGCCGGCCTCGGCGGGCTCTTCTCCTTGGGTATGCTAAGAAAAACAGTCTAGACTAGGCTATATTGTTTGTTATCGCGAGGGAGCGAGTCTCCGACACCTCTGGACGACAAGCATTTTTGCTAGTTTTTGTTTTGTTTATGCTCGGCGCAAAAGGTTTTGCGAGGGGTGTGTGGTGTGGCGTGTGCGGCCGTGGATGCATGTAAGGGTGATGGGAGGGTCTGTTCTAGTTCGGGCGCTGATTAGCTCTTTGCTGAGTGAGAGTGCAGCAGTACTATTACGCTGTATCGTCAGAGAGAGTGAGAGAGGCGGGTTGTGTTGTACCAGCAGCCGTCAGAGTTTTAATTTTCCCGAACCCACCCATCCATGCGTTGCCCCGCCTGTCCCCACGTGGGTCCACAGCAAGGGAAAAGTTGGAACCTCTGGGTTTTTTTGTGCATTTTTGTATGTAACACCACCGAGCACATCTTACAAATAGCCGCCGCCTCTTTCGTTGCCCTGCACTATGCTTTAATATCTATCGTTATTACTGTTGCGGCTTTCTACCGCTGGATTTGCCATCTACGACGTGCAATGAGTCACGCTGGCTCGATCGGCCTCATGGGAGGGGGTACAATATCCTGTGCCTGCTCGACAACGACGCTCAGAAACGACACTTGGGGGGGGGAACAGCAGCCACGGTTGTATCCCGCGATATCACGGAGCTTGTCACCCATGCCTTGTCGCTCTATCGCCGGTGAACCGGCTGTCCCGCATTAGATGCAAACCCGTGATCGGTTTGCGGTGAAATGAATGCCACAGCTGTGCAGCGCCGATTGAACACTCATCCATTCATAAAAAACTACTTTTTGTCACTCAACAGGACAAATTATTCTGTTCGCTGGGGTCGTTCTATCTACGAAGCCTACATCGACACCCACGGCAATAAAAGCACAATCAACGGTCGCCCCTCATCCATTCGCGACAACGTGCAATCCGAAACGGAACTTTATCGTTCCGTTTCGTCAACCGGTTCTGCATCCAACCCTTTCTCGGGAAAACACCAATCTGGTTCCCTGCAGCCCGCTATCCACACCGTGTCTTCCACCGACGAAATCAATTGTTATAGATGGTCAAGACGCCTCTGCCCACCACCTCTACATAGTCACGTATATCTCGGTCTGCTTCCCGCCTTCTTTTGCTCGAAGCCGCATATCTAAGTGTGGATTTTCAAAACTTGGCCGCCTTAGGTGTTAGAGTAGCAGTGACACCCCTTGCGCCCAATTGCTGACTATGAAGAAGGCAGCGCGGGTCCTCTATACGGCAGGGCAGCCGAAATCTTTTGGCAACGAGAAAATGATCAACTGTACTTGACTTACCTTGAATAGGGCCGGAGGCCCACGGTACGGCGGGTCAAGTGGCCTTGTACATACCCGCCCTACAGAGGGCCCACAAGGTGAGCCGGTTCGGCGTCCGACCGTGCGCTTTTACGTTGGACTCTCGGCAAAAAACAAAGGAAACAGCCGGAAGTCTTTTCAGTTGCTGTGAATGTTCCTCAAAGCACAGCTGTGCCGCCCCAGCTGTATACCCCCTGCTTGCTTGACCGTTGTATCGTCCGTCTTTCTAAAACAACAGACCACAAAATATACAAGGGCACACCTTTCATCTTCAAGAGAGAGCGGGAGAAAAGAACACCAGAAAAAACGGAAAAAAAGAACACTTCACCAAGAAGCGGAGACAACGCACGAACAGCTTGATCACCACCGAAACCCAGCCCCGAACACCACCACCACAAAACTGCTACAACCTTAGACCCCGTGTCTTTCGCGGCCGCCACCCCCCTCCTCTTCCCGTATTCACGCCTCGCGCTGGAACACCCGTAGCTCTCCAAAACGGCCGCGGCTGACGCGGACGTTTTGGTCGAGGTACGTGGTGTCGAAGCGACCAGCCGCCGCCTTGGCCAGGGGCTGCAACGCTGGAAGGGCGAGTGATCGCTTAGCTGCGTCCTCCGCGTTCATGAGCTTGAGCTCCTTCTGAACCAGCTCGATCTGCCCGAGAGGCAAAGAAAAAACAACGAAGGGCACACAGCAGGGGAATGCCGACATGAGCGCCTTCACGGCAATTTGAAGCGTTGGGTCCCTGCAGGAGCTGTAACCGTGCTTTTGTACAACAGGCGTGGAATGTCAGCTTTAGACAACGCAATAGGGAGTGGGGAGGAGAATAAAGCGAGCGAGTTTACCGATTGTTGGCTTCTTGCTGCTGTTGAAATCCTGTGGGCACGGTCACGTGTACCTCTAGCAGAACTACAGGGTAGGTATTCGAAAAATTGCTTCGTGAAGACACTCATGAGAGGGCCGAATCACGAAGAATAATTTCGATTTATATACTTCCGTAGTAGTAGTAGTACCAACACACTTGTGCACGAGAAAACGGTGGGCATACCCACTTTTGTCTATTTCCAAAGTTATGCCCATTGCCAGCACATTATCAAGATTTTCGAGTTGTGAGCGCCGTACTCGTGGCCTAAGGCTAAGGCTTGGCTTTGCACCGACAGGCACCTGCAGCAGTAACCGAGGTTTGGCGCACTGTGCAGAACGCCGCCGCCTCTGTTCGAGCATATTGTGCCATGTCCTGCACCCACGAGTGTAATTCCGGCAAGGAAGTGGCTTGCCGCAACAGAAGCTCTCGTGCATTCAAACGTTTTCCACAGCCCAAAACCAGCGCTGCTACCAACCTTGGTCCATGGTTACTTTCTACTTTGGTTCTCGCGGACACATGGAGGTGCGTATCGGTCCCCTTTCCAAACAAACCGAGCGATGAAAAATGCACAAAACGTCTCGCGCAACACCTGCTGCATAGTCATATTGAACGCCTACACAAGATAACCCCCCCCCCCTGGATCCAGCTCGATGCTGGGTTGGCGCTGTTGGCAAAGCGCTGTAAAACACGCCACCCCAAATATAGCCCCCATAGTATGCGCTACCAAAGACGCGTGACGCATGGATGCGTGGAGTGAGGATTGCTTACG